GGCCCCTGGCTGCTCGGGAGCGCTCGGAAGCGGCTCCGGACACGTCCTTCTCTCCTAGATCGCCCTCCGGCAGGGCATGAAGGCGGACACGGGAGCGCTCCTGGCCCTGTGCGAGAAGACGGAGAACGACATCCGCTCGTGCATCAACACCCTGCAGGTACAGGGGCTCCATTTGCCTTTGCTTCACGTGTTCCTTAGGGTCGGATAACTCTCTTGGCCTCCCTCTTCTCCCTTTCCCTGTCTCCTTCCAAGAGTTTCTCCCTGCACAGAGCCCAACCCCTTCTTGTGTTGCAGTTCCTGCACGGCCGAGGGCAGAAGGAGCTAAGCATGCAGATGGTGCAGACGATGAAGATAGGCTTGAAGGACCAAAACAAGGGGCTCTTCTCCATTTGGCAAGAGATTTTCCGGCTCCCAAAGGTTCAGAGGTAAATACGGGAATTTATTAGACGATCAGCATGTGCACAAGCTTAGGAAGCAGCCTGGTGCACAGCGCTTTGTGGTATCACATAATCCCCGTGCAGGATGCACAGTGGATGGTCTGAACCGTCCCTGGGTAGACAGTCTCTCCTGCAGGGCTTTGTTGAAGCAGATTTGTGTGTTTGATTCCCTTTGCTTACTCTCATTAGTGCATGAGAGCATATTAGCATGATAATTTGACATGGTTATTGTCTTCAGTCTGGTTTGCAAGGGTCCAGATACTCCTTTGTGGCCCATCCAGCACTGGCCTGCCCCAGTTCTGCAAGGCCTCGTCGCTGAGCGGGGGATCCTGAGCACCTCCCGTCTTCTCTCCGCAGGCACAGGATAGGAATGGACCCGGCTTTGCCGAGCGAGCTCCTCGGGGTCGACGACGGCCTGCTGCACGCCGGGGCCAAACCCGGCTTCAACGCGCCCTCGCACCGCTTCCACCGCATCCTTCACCTGGCCACGGCCGCGGGGGAGCACGAGAAGCTGGCCCAGGTAACGAGCCCGGCCGGGCCAGCCCTGCCGCGCGGCGCGGAGCACCCGGAGCACGAGTCCTGCAGCTAGTTGGTAGCTCAGGTGACCCCTTTATTTTGCTCCGTGCTGATTCTGGAGAGAGCTCCGAGCTGCCATGCAGTGCTGGAGCTGAACTTAGCAAGATGCTCAAAATCCCAACTTATAAAAATCCAACTCGGAGCCGTCGGTGATGCCCTTTCCACCTGGTTCCTTTTGCAGGGCCTCTACGACAACTTCCTCAACATGAGGATGCGGGACTCGTGTTTCGGCTCCATGTGCCTGGCGCTGGAGTGGCTGGAATTCTCTGACATGCTGGGCAGCGCCGTGCTGCACGGGCAGAGCTTCCAGCTCCTGCGGTACCTGCCCTTCCTGCCCGTGGCTTTCCACCTGCTCTTCGCCGCCTCCAGCATCCCGCGCCTGGCGTATCCCAACAGCCAGCACGAGGCGGGTGCCGGGAGCGGCGCCGCGCTCCGGCGCCGCGCGCGTCCCAACCGCGTTTCTCGCCGCAGGCGCTGGCCAAGCTCAACCACAAGCAGAACCTGGTCATGGCCCTGGTGTCGGGGATCGCGCCGGGCGCCCGCAGCCGCGCCGGGATGCAGGTGCTCGTCCTGGAGGTGCTCTGTCTGCTCCTGGACATCATCGCTCCCAAGCTCCGACCGGTGAGGCCTCCTCTGCTCCCTCCTGCGTGTCCCCTGCCTGGGTCCCCAAGCCCCGGGCTGCCTTTGGTGGCCCCTTTTCGCCCACAGAGGGGCCTTTCCCAGCTCGATGAAGTACACGGTGTCCCTGATATCAAACTAATCTTTTTTTCCCTGGCCTGATCCTCGCGGGTATTAACTGTCCTTTCTTGTATCAAGGAAAAATATCTGCTTCAGGTTATTTTTGTATGTAGAAGTTATTACAGATTAATTGTGCTCTCCCCTTACTTAACCCTCGCGTGGCTCCGCGCGCTCTCCCCAGGTGAACACGCAGCTCTACAGCCTCAAGGAGAAGCAGCAGCTCGCGGCCCTCATCAGCACCATGCTGGCCTACAACCTCACCTACCACCAGGAGCGCACGCCCGAGGGCCACTACGTCTACAAGCTGGACCCGTGAGTGTGCCCAGGCCTGCGCTGCCCTCGGGATCTGCTCCCTCCGGGATCAGCTCGGGGCCAAGGGATGCGGGCGGCCTCGGGCCAAGCGAGGTGCTGACCGGGATGGGGCTGGGTGGACACTTAGGAGGGTGGACAGCTGCTTGGGTTGAATATGGTAAATAAGACAAATGAGTGTGTCCATGGGGAGACTGGAGCCTGAAGGTATCGCTTTGATTTTCTACAGCCAGGTTTGAAGGTTTCTCTGGGTTAGCTCTGCTCTGAACTGGGGACATGGCCGTGTCCATCTGAGTGTTCCCAGTTTCTGCCACATCCCTCTTGGACCGGGACATTTCTGTGTGTTCAGAGCAGAGGCTACGGCTAGAGGTTTAGCAGATGCCGTGAAAAACAGTCAATGTGGTGGCCTTTAGTGCTAGCCCTGGTGGTCCTTCCTGCAGCCAGGAAGCATCCGCGCAGGCCCTGTCTGCGCTGCCCTTTCTGGTGGATAAACCTGGTTTTAAAGAGGCGTTTGTGATGTTTGAGGTCAGGAACAGATGGCAAAGCAGCTGAAAGAGCAAATGTGCCCGTCTCCACGCCGATGTTAAGGACATGGCCTCCCCACGTGCCCCTCGCTGCCTCCCCCCTTGCTGATCAAACCTCCCTTTATCCTCTTTAACTTCCACCAATCCGGCTTTTCCCGGCCCGCCTGTGTCCTCATCCCTGCGGGCGGCCCATGGCCGTGTCCCTCTCCCGGGTGGCATCAACAGCAGCGCCTGGGACGGCGGCTTCTCCGCGAGGGGAAGCAGGAATCCCAGCAGAGACCTGATCCCTTGTGGCCTTTAAGAACTTCTGAAACGCTCGCCCTAAATTGCAATGATGTGGCTCTTTCCTATGTTTGTTTAAAAATAATAACGGCAAAGCACTTCTGAGGTTAATGCTACAAAAACGCCTGCCTGTGCCAAATCCCTTACATTCTTCTAAGGGGCTTAGTGAGTTTTTTCAGTGTAAATACCCCTTTTTTTCCCTCTCGCTTTTGGTGGTGGTTCTCGCCTCCTGTTTTTTGCGCTGGTCCTTCCCAGGAGGACGCTGACGCCAGCAGCAGCCTCTGCTGCCACCCTGGGATTTACCTTCCCCGTGAGACCTGACGGCTGCCGAGTCCCGTATTGCCGGCTTGTCCGGCCGCACTGATGCCAAAGCAGGGCTGGTTTTGCTTTAATTGGATTAAAGGAAAGGAAATAGTTTCTTTTTGGCAATCCGTGGCCTCTTTGCAGCTGCTGGTTGTGCCAAGCTCTTGGGTGCTGCAGCTGGATGAGGGACAACAGGTTAACTCAGGAGCTGCTGTTGCTGCGTTTCTAAATCAACCGTGTGTCATTACTAAGCCTGAGCCCTCTTTGTGCTTTAGCCACATACAGAGCTGGAAACTTCCCGGGTTTAAGGACATGCTGCAGCAAAGTAACAAGGACCTGGCCCGTAGCTTGGAGCAGTGCTAATGTCTTCCTGGTACAAAAAAAGTTAATTAAAAAGAATTATCCTCTGTTAAATCAAACAGCTATATCTAATTACAGTGGAGCGTTTTATTTTTTTTCCTGGAAACGCCTAAGGGAGCCGCTGGAGTTGTAGCGAGACATCCTGCCCTCCCCACGCTGGGAGGCTCCGGAGGCTCCGCGCGCGGATGCTGGAGCAGCGAGTGGTCACCCTGCAGCATCGGAGCAGGACAGCGTGGCCAAGGCACAGGAGGGCTCTGGCAGCCCTGGCTTTTCCTGCAGGGACAGGGCTGGGTGCCCGTCCCGCTGCTTTTGTGCTCCTCTTTAAGGCAGCTCTGTGACCGTGTAAGGACATCAGGAAGAGGAATGGCTTTTTAAATAGGAGTCTTGACAGCTAGTTTCTAAATGACTGCAAATCCCCTGACACATGCATTTGTTCCCTATATTTTAATGGAAATAATATCAGATGCAGCTAAGGTGTGAAATATTTATAACTGTCAGATGAGCCGAATGGGCTGGTTTCTAAGAAGAGCTCGAGCTGCCTTTGCTCCAAGGGTCCTGCAAAAGACTGAGCTCCCAATGAGGTGCAGCAGCCCCATTGCAGGTGAAACTGCAAACTCCAATTAGCCAAACTGGCTGTTCACAGCTATGTCTCAGTTAAACAAGCGCTGGAGTCGGTCTTAATCGTTCTCCTTTTCCCCCTGTGCTGCTGCAAAGGCTGCTGTAGCAGGAGGTCAGGCAGTTTGCTTAAGGATGCAAAGGGTTTTCTTGCTGCTTGTGCCTGAGCTATTACGACGTGGGCTTTTCCAGGACAGTTTGTTTGTCACGAAGCAACAGGCAGTTTCTTTTTGTTGCATTAAAGCCAAGATTAAAAAAATGCATCATCTCCTTTTGACTTATCACCGCCGTGAGATCCCCTGTGTTGATGGGGGTCGGTACCACGGGCACCTTTAACTCTTCTGCTAAAGCTGCTCACACACATGGGCCTCGGAGGGGCAGGGGAGACTTTGGCCTCATGCAATTAAACCTTTGTCAGCAGAGCTGGTTTTTCCATTTTCCATATTGATATCTTGTCGTTTCCCCCCTCCTCGCGTGCCGTCCTGTTAATGCAGGAACGTGGAGGACGTGTGCAGGTTCCCCGACCTCCCGGCCCGGCGGCAGCTCACCTACCAGGCCAAGCAGCTCATAGCCAGGGAAATCGAGCTGGAAAAGATGAGGAGGACGGAGGCTTTGCTGCAGGAGCGCAAGGGCCACGAGGTGGGTACGGCAGGACCAGGACGCGGCTCCCGCGGCCGCAGCGAAGGGGAGGAAAAGCCCCAGCTGGCGCCTCTCCTGCTGCAAAGGAAAATCCGGGATTAACCCCCCAGCCCGGCCTGGTGCTGGGGGCCACGTGCGTGTGTGCACATCTGTCCCCACAGCTCGTCCCCCTGCACGAATCCCGGGAATGACCCATCCCGGCAGGCTGGCGCTGGAGCAGCCAGGGATCCGCAGGATGAGCCGAGACGACACCGGGGTTCACTGAGGCTTTTGGCACAGGGAGGAGGGGG